AGTGCCCATAGTGTGTGTGTTTTACCTCACACAGTGCCCATAGTGTGTGTGTGTGTTTCACTCCATAAGGTGGCTGTTGCACAGCTGCTGCAGTGAAGGCGACGCAGATGCCGTTTCTATACACTGTTTGCTTTTCCTCCCTTGGGATGGATGGTGCTGCTGGGTCTCATGGCAGTTCTAATTTTAGGGTTTTGAGAAACTACCGTGCTGTTTCCATAATGGCCGTACCAACTTACATTCCTACCAACAGTGTATCCTGCACATCCTCCTCAGCAGTTTCTTTTTTTTTATTTTGGAGACAGAATCTCACTCTGCCATGCAGGCTGGAGTGCAGTGCTGTCATCATTGCTCATTGCAGCCTCCAACTCCTGGGCGCTAAAGCCACCTCTAGCCTCCCTAGTTGCTGAGACTACAGGTGTGTGACACCAGGCTTGGCTAAAGCATTTTTATTTTATTTTATTTTTTTTAGTATACACCAAAGTTTTATTCCTGATGGCTAAAGCATTTGTTATGTTTTGATAATAGCTGTTCTAAATGGTGTGAGACGATGGCTCACTGTGGTTTAGGTTTGCATTTTCTTGATCATTAGTGATGTTGAGCATTTTTCATACACTTTTTGGCCATTTGTATGTCTTTTTTCAGGAATGTCTATTCAGATCCTTTGCCCTTTTTTTTTTTGAGACAGGGTTTCTCTGTCACCTGGGGTAGAGTACAGTGGCGTCATCATAGCTCACTGCAGCCTGGAACTCCTGGATTCAAGGGATCCTCTGCCTCAGCCTCCTGAGTAGCTGGGACTCGGGTGTGCACCACCACATCTGGCAAATTTTTCTGTACTTTGTGGAGATGAGGTCTCACATTTGGCCGAGGCTCTTTTGCCCATTTTTCAGTTTGGTTATTGAGGTCTTTTTTTTTTTGCTATGAGTTGTCTGAGTTGTTTGTACACTCTGGATATTAGTTCCTTATCAGGTGAGTACTTTGCAAATATTTTTTTCCATTCTACAGGTTGTCTCTTCATGCTCTTGATCATTTCCTTTGCTGTGCAGGAGCTTTTAGTTTTATGTTCTCCCACTTGTCTGTTTTGTTGTCTGTGCTTTTGACGTCTTACCCATAAACTTTGCCTAGACCAATGTCCTGAAATGCTTCCCCTGTGTTTCATCTAGTACTTTTATAGCTGTGGTTCTTACATTTAAGTCTTTAATTCATTTAGAGTTAATTTTGTATGTGGTTAGAGGTAGGAGTCTAGTTTCATTCTTCCACATATGGATATTCAGTTCCCAATACCATTTATTGAAGAGGGCAACCTTCTCCCAGACTATGTACGTTCTTGGTGCCTTTGTTGAAAATCAGTTAGCCATAAATATGTGGATTTATTTCTGGGTTCTCCATTCTGTTCCATTGGTCTCTGATCTGTTTTTTGGTTTTTTTTTTTTTTTTAACCAATACTGTGCTGTTTTGGTTATTACAGCTTGGTAGTAGTTTTTGAAGTCAGGTAGTATAATGCCTCCAACTTTGTTCTTTTTACTCAGTATTGATTCGGCTATTTGGGATCTTTTGTGATTCCTATATAAATTTTAGAATATTTTTTCTGTTTCCATGAAGAATGTCATTAGTCATTAGTATTTTCTTTGGTCTTGCTTGAATCTATAGATTGCTGTGGGTAGTGTGGTCGTTTCAACAATATTAATTCTTCTAATTCATGATTGTGGGATATCTTTCCATTTGTTTCCTTGTGGAGAGTTTTCAGAACCTCCCTGGTTAAATTCATTTATTATTTTTTTTAGATAATCATAAATGGGATTGCTTTCTTAATTTATTTTTCAGCTAGTTGGTTACTGGTATATAGAAATGCTATTAATTTTCCCATGTTGGTTTTGAATCCTACAACTTTACTGGATTTATCAGTTCTAGACTGTTTTAGGTGGAATCTTGAGGTTTTTCTATGTCATCTACAGAGAGGGACAGTTTGACTTTCTCTTTTCAGTTTGAATGCCTTTTATGTTTTCTCTTGCCTGCTTATTTTCCTGGGACTCCCTGTACCCTGCTGAATAAGAGTGGTGACAGTGGGGGCCCTTGTCTTGTTCCAGTGGTGACAGCAGGCGCCCTTGTTAAGAATTGATTCATCAGCTCTTTGATGCATCCATGCTACTTTTCTTGCAGAGTATTCCACATTCTGAGTTTCTGTGAATTCATAGAATTCATATTCTCCCTAGGAGACACCTTGCGCTGCTTATTTCACCCCTCATGCCTCCTGCAGTTGCTCATGAAGACCTTGAAGGGTGTGTGGAGGAGTTGGCCCATCAGGCGTACCTGGGGGGCACTCTGCTGGCGCTAGTGGGTGGAGGCCAGCAACGCTAAACATGCAAAGAAGAGTCATCCCATCTCAGGTGCAAATAGCATTTGAATGTGTGTTGGCAGAGCATTTGCCTAATGCTGTAACAAGTTAATCATGGCATCTGTGGGGAGGGCGGATTAGAAGATGGAGCATTACGTGTAGGGTATAAAGAAGGAGATGAAACGTGAAGGACTGGAAGGAAGCCTACAAGCAGGCTAGCAGGAGGTCAGGTTCAGGTGAAGGAGATGGTCTAAGATGCGGAGAAGGTTTTTAGGAGCAGGAGGAAAGTTGAGTAATTTCCTATTGATTTTTCTTAATTGATGTGAAACAGGAAATAGACATCTGTTAAGAATGAGGCCTCTGTGTAAGCCATGGAATCTGGGATTGGCTGCCAGTCAATACTGGGATGGACTGTTAGTCAATCAGTATTCAAGGGCCTAAGACAAGTCAGAAAATACCAGGGTAGTTCACATAGTTATGTTATTTTCACATCCATTTTGGAAAAAAGAAAATAAATGCCTGGCTCACCCATGGTGTGTACAGGTAGGCAGACACAAACTGGCACTAGATCCCAGATGTTAGAGTCTGGGCTGATGGGGAGCGTGTCCTGTGTTTTACACAGATCCCCTCACCAGTTCAGTGATACTTCTTGGTGCTGCTTTTTTTCTCTAAGTTAGTGGTTCTCAACCTTCCTAATGCCGTAACCCTTTAATACAGCTCCTCATGTTGTGGTGACCCCCACCATAAAATTATTTTCATTGTTACTTCATAATTGTAATTTTGCTACTGTTATGAATTATAATGTAAATATCTGATATGCAGGATATATTTTCATTGTTACAAAGGGGTCACGACTCACAGAGAACCACTGCTCTAGGGTAACAGTAGAAACTTACTCAGACTCACAGGTTGAGGCAGTTTGTTATAAGGATCACAGGATTAAGAGATAGGATCACAGAGGAATTGGAACAAGAACCATGTTGAAGCTGGGCCTCGCTGCACTTGAAGCACAGGGGTCCTGGGGTCCTGCTGCTCTGGGGCCTGACAGCACAGGCAGTGTTGCACACACCTGCTCTTCTGTAGCCTGACTTGGCTATAGCTGTGTAGGGATGCTTCTTCCTGTCCCACTACCACCTGAAACATTCTCTGTTTCTAGTTTATTTCCTCCCAGAGAAAGAATTGGATTGACCCAGCTCACCTGTTTCTGGCATTTCATAGATTTCTGGCTAGCTCCTGTATTGGTTCTCTGGGGTCAGACGGGTTTCCCTCATCTAGCTGCCTGTGACCATTGGCAGGGGTTGGAGGAGCATACAGAGCTGTGGGTGTGCTGCCCTTGGAAGGGAATGGGGATGAGCAGACACTTTGCATCTTTTCTCTGCCACCCATGCCCAACTTAATGTCTGTGTACATGGTATTCACGGTGCCTCTGGCCATGTATGCCAGCTCTTTTCCACACAGTCAGAGAGGCCCTGTCTTTTCCCAGGCAGGGACCTTTCCTCCTGGGCAACAGTGCCACGTGCAGTTCCCTCACTTTCTCCCAGGCAGGTCCACTGGGGCTGCTGGAGGAGTGCTTGTTAGGTTTGGAGGCCACAGGCATCTTTCAGTTTGTTTTCCTGCCACTCAGTCTGATAAGTCTCTGAAAACGGTCTGTTTTAGCCACTGGACTTTGGAACCAAGTCACAATTAATCAGCCCTGGGGTATATCAGCACCCCACACATACTTGGGTGCCATCTCCCTGTGGTGCTCAAGGACAGTCACTCGGCCAGCACTGTGGACCTGTGGATTTGCTCTGTCTCCCTGTGGTCCAGGAGTATGGAATGGCCAAGGGGTGGTCTCAGCCTCAACACAATAACATCATTCCAGTTCCACAAAATAAGAGAGTGGAATTTGTTTTCCTTGCAGTGTGATTATGTTAATATCCCGACTGCGGTGTTTACCCCTCTGGAATATGGTTGCTGTGGATTATCTGAAGAGAAAGCTGTTGAAGCATATAAAAAAGAGAATCTAGAAGTAAGACTGTTTTATTATTTCCTTTTCCAGAATTTCTCTGTTAATCAACTGTTTATACAATCACTTCATATTTTGTCATTTTGCAGATTACCGTAATGGTTATATTGTAGGAGATAATATTCCTAATTTAGGAAATTAGAAATTTAACACTATTTCTTTATCAGACTAATAATAAGAGTACATTTGGGGAAAGAGGTGATTCCAATATTTAAATTAGGACTTTTGAGTTATAGGTAACAAAAATCTACTTGAGCAAGCTTGTACAAGGAAGCTCCAAGTTTTTTAAAAGTCTTTTGAGAACACAGGAATGCATTAAGGCGTTAGGAAGGACGAGATCCAGGTATTGGAATGTCATCTCAGCTTTTGTCTTACTTTCTTGGGGTCTCTGTGTACATTTACATGTGTGTACACCGTTCATTTTTCTTTCTGCAGACAGATTTTATCTGCCACTGGAAAGCAGCCAAAACATGACCTTGTCTTCTGCTCCTGAATTTATCTAATAGTTCTGGTCTTAGAAAGGCCTGATTTGAAACACTGTTTCTTAGTCTCAATACTTGACACTTGGTTGGTCCCAACTGGGTCAAGTGTCCATCCCCTTGGGTTGATGTGGCCAGCAGCAGAGCCACACCCATCACTAGAGCTCTGGGAGCCTACACTCTGGACGGGCTGGCGTCGGGCTGGCGGACAGTCTCAGGATAGTGTGGGCCATTCAGACTCCCCAAACACACATTTATTTGCACCTCTCTTTCACTCCTTCACCTTTTAGCCAATCATAATCTTAAAAATATTTTCTTATTTTTTGGTGGGTAATTTGATTGGCTTTTTTTGCCCACCCTCCCAACAGAGGAAGGAGAGGGAAAAACAAAGAGAGTTGGAATTACTAATACTTGATATTTTAAGTAAAAGAGAATTGAAATTTCAGTCTTTTCCCTTGAAGACATTTTAATTGTATGATTTAATTTATTATTGGGAATATAAATATAGAACCAGGGATATTCCCTAATTAAATGGCCTGTGGACTTACTGAAATTCTTACTTAAATTTCTGTAAAGTTATTGATATAGAGGGACTGAGGAGGCCTTTTGAAAATATATTCATAATAACTTTTAAACTAAGAAAATCAAGGTGAAAAGAAAAGGGAGAGTAGAAAAAAAGAGCTAGAGAAAGGTTAATTTTTTTGTTCACAAAATTCATGCTATGAAGTTCTACTTTGAGATTAAACTGAAATTTTAATTTTAGTTTTCTGTGACCTGATCTCAAAGAGAAACTGAGAACTGGGAGACTTCCTCAAGGTCTTATGAAAGGGACATTTTGATATGGTGAATAATATCAATAATGTCCTTAATGTATCTCTTTAGTAAATATAATGAGTTTTATAGAATTGTTTCTCCCCCCACTGCCCATCTGAGACAGGGTCTTGCTCAGGTGCCGTCTCTGAGGGGCAGTGGAATGTTCCTGTAACCTGCAACTCTCGGCCCAAGTGATTCTCCCCCCTCAGCCTTCCACATAGCTGGGACTAGGGGTGTATACGCCACTGTGCCTGGCTAGTTTTTTTTTATTTTTGTGGAGATAAGGTCTCGCTACATTGCCCAGGCTGGAGAACAGTTTTTTTTTTTATTACATCCAGAAATACAGTCTTACGGTTTAATGTATAAAACAGCAATTCCTAAATGGGCCAAAACAGGGCTCTCTGGTGGCCTGATTAAATACAAAATTTTAGAGAATCTAGACCCAAGGTTTTAACCTGTTTTACTTTAAAGTTCCTTCGAGAATAAAATCTTTGGTTCCATATCGGGGGAAAACCCACATGCATACGTACATAAGAGCCACCTTAATTCCTCCATGTTGTTGCCTACAATTTGTGGTACCTTCAGAATATGTCTGGTACGGATCTCCTCACTTCACTTCCCCTCACCATCCTGTTCTAGTCCTCCCTCCTCTGGCTCTTGCCTGAACGACTGTGAGACCTCACAGGTTTCTCTAACACACACCATTCCAGTCATAACACGTTAGCCAGAGGGATCTTTTAAAAATACAAACCAGTTATGCCATTTCCCCACTTAACTCTTCCATAATTTCCCCGTGCCCATAGAATACAGTCCATGTTCCTTCCTCTTGCTGTAGAGGCAGAACGTTCCAGGTCGTTCAGGCCAGTCCCGTCCTGCTCATGATGACCTGGTCATGCCGGTTTATTGTTTGTTCCCTAACCACATCATTTCTTTCCTGTAGCCTTGTCTCTGAGCTTCTAGTTTCCTTGGCTTGCTTCTGTGATATGTGAAAAATAGAGGCTATTCAGCACTCCTGCAATGTTAAGAAAAATGTTACCCAAAGGACACAGATAAAAAGAAATAGTGTAGGATGGTGCCTGTGGCTCAAAGGAGTAGGGGGCCAGCCCCATACACCAGAGGTGGCGGGTTCAAACCCACCCCCGGCCAAAAACTGCCAAAAAAAAAAAAAAAAAAGGAATAGTATGTTCTTCCCTAGTGCAGTAGTCCCATATCTGATTTTGCCATTTGGGAGAAAAGAGAAAAAAGGGAGAAAGAAAGAGATGCCAGGATTTCTCCTGAGTAAAAAACCTGGACTTCCTTTCTAATGAACACCTGTTGTATGGAAGGAGGGAGCGAAATAATCACAGCCATGCCCTGATTATTAAGGACAAAGTGAGAAATAGAAATACTGTGTCACCAAATTAGCACATACATCAGAATTACAATAAGCACATGACTGGAAGCAAACTTAATTATATAGGAAAAGTTGGGTTAGTTATGCTTCAGTGTGGGAGAAAAAAGTCCAGGACTGCGATACGCACAGAGAGGCAAAGATGACCCTTCGGTGGAAAGCCTAAGAAGCGGTAGCAGGAGTAGTATTTGGAAACATAATAGAAGAAAATATTGCTACTATTGGAGAAGAGCTGAATCTAAAGATTGATGTAACATACCTTGTTTGTGGAGAGATTGATGCAGAGCCGTTGACATCAGGATGTCCCAGTTACGTTCCTGACACTTAGGAATCCAGGCAGAGAAAAGTAGTTGTCCACAGTGAGCACAGAGTCAGACTGGCCTTGAGCTTTTTCACAGAGACATTCGGTACCAGATAGAATGAGTGATGTCGATAAGCTTTTGAGGGAAGATGTGTATTTTAAAATAAACTCTCTAAGATCGTGTCTTAGTTCGTTTGGGCTGCTCTAACAAAATGGCTTAACTGGATGGCTTATGAACAATAGAAATTTATTTCTTACACTTCTAGAGGCTGAGTTCTGGTAGATCAAGGCATATTTGGTATCTGATGAGGACCCTCTTCTTGGTTTACAGACAGCTCTCTTCTCTCTGTGTCCTTGAATAGTACAGGAGCAGTGAGCTTCCTAGATCTGCTTTGTCAGGGCGCCGACTGCATTTGTGAGGGCTGGCCTGGCCCTCATGACCTACCTGCTTTCCAACAACCCCACTTCCTCATATCCTTGCCCCATTCCACATGTGGAGAGGAGATGCATGTCCCTTACTAGAGATGATTTACAGGGTTTTTCCCCCATTCTGGAGGCTGTCTTTTTATATTATTGATGGTGTCTTTTGAAGCACAAAAGTCTTTAATTTTGATCAAATATAACTTATCTTTTTTGGACACATACTTTTCATGTCGTATCTAAGAAAACACTGCCTAATCCAAAGTTCTGCCCATGTTTTCTTCTTAGAGTTTTAAAAATGTAGTCATGCACTGCTTACAGCAGCAGTGTATTCTGAGGAATGTGTCAGGCAGTCTGTGTGTACACATCAGGGTGTACTGGAGAGACCAGATGACGTGGCCTACTGCCCATCAAGGCTGTAACAGACTGCTCCAAGGCTGCACACCGACACACCATGTTATGGTGCAATATCGTAGGGAATTATAAAACTGTAGTAACCACTTATCTAGGTATAGCTGAACCTAGAAAAGGTACAGTAAAAAATATGGCACCAAAGATAAAAGGTGGTACTCTGTATAGGGCTTACCCCATGAGAGGAGCTTGCAGGACTGGAAGTTGCTCTGGGTGAATCAGTGAGTGATGGACAGTGAAAGTGAAAGTCTAGGGTGTCACATATACTTTGTGAACACTGGATACCTAGGTTACATTAAGTTGTTAAAAATGGGCTCAGTGCCCGTAGCTCAGGGAGTAGAGCACCAGCCACATACACTGAGGCTGGTGGGTTCGAGCCCAGACTGGGCCTGCTAAAGAACAATGACAACTGTAACAAAAAATAGCCAGGTGTTGTGATGGGCACCTGTAGTCCCAGCTACATGCGAGGCTGAGGCAAGAGAATTGCTTAAGCCCAAAGAGTTTGAGGTTGCTGTGAGCTGTGACGCCGTGGCACTCTACCGAGGGTGACATAGTAAGACTGTCCCAAAAAAAAGAAAAATTGTTAAAAAGGTTTTATTTCCTCATTAACAAATTAACTTTAGCTTACTACAATTTTTAATTTAAATTTTTTTTGCTCTTTTATAATAGCACTTAGCTTAAAACACAAACTGTATAGCTGTCCAAAAATGTTTTTCTTTATATCCTTATTCTATAAGCCATTTTCTATTTTAAAAAGTTTTGTTTTTTTTTTTACTTTTTAAACTTTTTTTATTAAAAACTAAGACACAAACACACACATTAGCTTAGGGCTTACCCAGGGTCAGAGTCATCAGCATCACTGTCCTCCACCTCAATACCTTGTCCCACTGGAAGGTCCACAGGGGCAGTGACAGGTATGTGGCTGTCATGCTCAGTGAGAACCATGCCACCTTCTGGAATATCTCCTGAAGGACTTGTCAGAGGCTGTTTGACAGTTAACTTTTTTATTTATAAAAACCCCCAAGTTTTTAATAGAGTGGTACCTTCTAAAATAATGATAAGATGTGTAGTACTGTAAGTACACACACCAGAAATGTAGCTATTGGGCGTCGCCATTGAGTACTATGCACTGTGCATAATTGTCTGCTAGGCTTTTACACCGGAGGTTGCACCACCGTCACAGAGCACATGAGGGGTGTGTTGTGCCGCGTCACTAGGTGAAGGAGTTTTGCAGATTCTCAGAGGACCATCATTGTGTGCACTGTCTGTTGTAGACCGAATGATATGTGGCCCATGATTTCAGTTTAGGTCTCTGACCCATTTTAAGTCAATATTTGCATACACAAGTGGTGTGAGGTAAAGCTGTGGCTTCCTTCTTTGCTTGTGGCTTTGTGGTTGCCTGCAAACAGCTTTTACATGGTAGAGGAAACACTGGTAATTACACAGCCAAGAGTATCACTGTGTTGGCAGGATGAGGGTGGGCAGGAGGATGCCAAGGGCATGGCTGGGGAAGAAAGGGTGAAATCCTCCTATTGCATAGAGCCAAGTTGGCAGATAAAGCCTAAGGTAGAAAAGTCAAGCAGTGGCAGTATAAGCATGTTTTTAGAAACATAGAGGTAAATACCAAAATCAGCACATAAAAGAATTGAAAGTGATGGCCTGTGGGTTTGTTGAAACAGGTAGGGGCAGAAATGGCTGTTTTTTGTAACAAAGTTTTGAAAATTGTGTCTGTAATTATTTATGATTTGATAAACACTTTTTAAAAAGCACAGGCAATAAAAGGAAGACTCTGAATAAGGGGAGTAATGAGAGGAAAAAGAAGAAGTAGGACCCACACTTCATACCCACCTTGAACCAGGAGAATCAAAACTTAAATACAGTAAGAACTTAGAAGTATTAGAAAGAAAAAACATTTGGCACAGCCAGGGAGAGCGCAGAAGGAGTGCTCAGCTCCTGCCTGCTCAGGGAGCAGCATCAGAACAGCAGCTGCTGTTCTTAAGTCAGGCCACACCTCCGAGAGTTGTCACCCTTTCTTTTTTTAATCTTAGAGCTGTCATTTTAGGAGATTATATCTTGAGGTAGAGAAACATTTATCTTCTATTCCTAAAAGCCACAGAAATGTAAAAGTTTATATTAAAATATGTTGAAGTTTCTTTTTCTTCTGTTAGGTATAAATTAAGTCTAATTTTTTTGTTACAACTATATGCCATGATACTTTTTTAATAAATATTTTAACTACATATGTTCCCACAATTGATGCTTCCCTAACATTGTAAATGGTTATTTCTGGGTGGTATTTTTTTTTTTTTTGAGACAGAGTCTCATTCACTCTGTTGGCTCTGTTCACTGAGGCTACTGTGCTATGGCCTCAGCCCAGCTCATCCCAACCTCAAATCCCCAGATTCAAGCAATCCTCCTGCCTTGACCTCGCATGTAGCTGGGCTTACAGGTGCCTGCCACATTATCTGGCTAATTTTTCTATTTTTAGCAGAAATGAGGTCTTGCTCTTGAGGAGGAGCTCAAGGGATCCTCCTGCCTCCGCTTCCCAGAGTGCTAGGATTATCGGTATGAGCCACCACACTGGGCCTGGGTGGGATTTTTTAAAATTTAAATTCACCCATTGAATTATAGCTCAGATACATTACAGATGATAGTTCAGGTACATTTCTTATTCTCTCACCCAGTATTAGTTCTCACCTTCCTCATGGAGTGACACAGAGAAGCGGCACTGGGAGGTTGGATCTGCCTGATCCCATCTGAGAGCCCCCCAGTAGGTGTGGATGAGGATGGCTGCTCTACCCCTAGCTGGGTAGAGAGTTGAGATACCTTCTAGATGATGGTTCAGGTACATTAGTTCCCACCTTCTGTAGGGAGTGACTCAGAGGAGCGGCACTGGGAGGTTACACCCACTCCTAGGTCCCACGCTGGGTGGAGGGCACACTGCTCTCTGCTGGTCTTCAGGAGGCAGAGCTCAGCAGCACGCGTAGGACACTCTCGTGAGGGTTTGGGAGACAGAAATGTGAGGGTCATAATCCCTGATTTCAAGTAACATAGGTTCTTAATCTCTTTGAATGGCTAGAACTATTTTATTTTTTCTGTTTTCTAGATTTTGCTTGACTTTGAACATTGTAGTCAGGGTCTTGGCCTTGCCTCTTCAGCCTCCCCGAGGACCCCGGGCACTAGTGCATTGACTGCCTTTAAGTGGTGGTGCTGTACACGTTTGAAAATGGAATTTTTTTCACAGATTCTTTTTGGAACTGCTGAGCAACCAAAACAAAGGTCCACACACCTGTGCAACTGATGTTTCAGGAGCTGTGGCCCAGATGCTCCCATCAGATACATAAAGTTGGGATCATTGAACTTTCAATTTCTCAAAGCTGTTACAGAGGTTATTGTCGTTAGGAAATTAAAGAGCCTGTGGAGGAGTAGCCTTCATATACATTAATCTCTCTCATCTCTTCTTCAGGTATTTCATAGTTTCTTCTGGCCTCTTGAATGGACGCTAGCCGGCAGAGACAACAATACTTGTTATGCAAAGATAATCTGCAATAAATTGGACCATGTACGTAATACCACTACAGCTGAAAAGCTGTGATTTTAGAATGTAGCTTTCATTCCTAGAATTTAGATTTTTATAATCTGTTTAAAGATAGCCTTCAGGGCTGGACAGAGCCCCTTCACACTGCTGGGGTTTGCAGAGGCCGAGCCGTGGCAGTTCACATGCCCTCTCTAGGTAGAGCACCGGAAGCCGTCTCCTCCCAGGGCTGTCTCGATGGCTTGATAGTTGAAACTTGACAGTTTAGAACAGAATGATCTGTGAAAATTTTGGTTACCAACTAATAAATTGTATAGGATGTGTTTGTGTGTGTTTTATAAACTGGGTTTCAGAAGCTATTAGAAGGAGATGCTCAGAAAGCAACACCTGTTGCTGAGTCCTGGTGAAGCTTTTCACTAGAGCAGCAGCAGAAGGTACTGCCCATGCTGATGGCTCTCCTCCCTCCAGAATGCTGACAGCACCCCTCATAATTACAGTTTAAGCCTAGTGTATTTTTAACTTGCTTTGTAAAGAATATCGCATATGGAGAGCGCTATTCAGACTTGGTTCTTCTTTTGTTTCTAATCTGTCTGGGGAGATTAAACATAAATACTGAAAGCAACAACTGACCCTTCTATGAAGTTTCCAGTAAGACAGCCATCATCTTGTTTAAGTGTCATGTCTGTTTTCATCATACTCTCAGTACAAAAGAAAGCGGGTGCCACAGGCTGACAGCCCACTAGCATCTGCTCCACCGCTGCATGGGGAAGCCGTCCAGAGCTCAGGGCTTTCTTGGTAGTTGCACGTCTCAGGGCAGTGGGGACGGAGTTGGTTACCATGGCCCTGAAGAGCTCCAAGTTGGGATGAGTTTGCAGTTGTGCTCCTGGGGGTTGTGTCCTTGTGTGGGACTATTTCCTTATTCTTTGGGAAGAAGTTTTCTGAAGTCAGCATCGTGGCAGTTGGAGGCAGCCTTTCCCAGGGAAGCTGGGAGAAGCTGTGGGTACCCACTGCTGGTCTCTGAAAGTGAGAGCCGCTGACAGAGCAGGACTCAGCCTCCTCACAGCTGCAGACGGCCACCTCGGTGGCTGTCACCCTGAGGTGGCATTGCTACCTCTGTTGCCCTGTCTTAGAACCCCTTCCACTCTGTCCCACGCCAGCCTTCCCGCTGACCCCAAGCTCCCACACAGTCCCCAGGCTGTGGTCTCCCCCTTGCCCACTGATGACCTTGGTGAAGCCTGTTTCTGGAGCATCACCCTAGTACTGAGAAGAGGAAAGACCTTACTCCACCTGCTTCCCTCATGCAGCACCTGACTCCGTTTTCAGTTATCAGTGGAGATTTCACCAGATGCCCTGCTTTTCTCTGGACCATCTGCCCTTTTCCAGGTTGCTGTGTGAGGCACCACCTCAGATTCCAATTGGGTAGCCTTCCATGGGGCCCTTGGAATTGTACTTGGAACCCCTGGCCCAGGTGGCATCTGCGTGCCTCCAGTGCCCACCAGTAGGTGTGGATGAGGGTGGCTGCTCTGAACCATTATTCTTTTTCCAGAATGGGCAGATATTTCTCCTCCCTCTGACCTCTGGTGCCCTTTTACAGTTCTCTCTTCATCTGTTATACACTTTTACTATTGAAGATCAAAATGAAGAATAGAGTCTGATGAGAAAATATTAATGCACCATTACCTTGGAAATTGACTGCAAATCTCGCCTCCGTCTCTGGGGGTCTGTGCACCACGTACGCTCTGCACCCTTCAGCACACAGTGCTTGGTGACAGCCACACACCTGCCACTCCTTGAGCTCAGGGTTAGGAGCAGAACACCTTGCTTTCTGCCCTGGCAATCTCTGCATTTCCCGTAAACCCGCTGCCTTAGAATTATTTCAACATTGGACTTTAGTTCAGACATGTTATGTTGTTGTTGAGCACTATCTCAGCATAATTCACAAATTTACATTGTACTGATGAACTCTTTCATGCAGTGGGTAAATTGCTTGTTCTAGTAAATTTGAGTGTAAATTAAGTCTGGATGTGCATTTACTGGCTCATTTAACAGATTCTTAAGAGAGACTCAGTTTCATGGTAATGTTCTCTGCTCAGTTCAACATGAGAGTTATTTCTCTTAGATTTTAACTATACATTTTACTGTAAAATTTAACTGTGGAATTGCAGTGAACAGATTCCTATTCACACCATTAACCTACTGGTGTTCTCTTTGTTTTGTTCCTGTATTAAAGGATCGGATAATAGGATTACATATTCTTGGACCAAATGCTGGTGAGGTTACCCAAGGATTTGCAGCTGCAATGAAATGTGGGCTCACTAAACAGCAACTAGATGACACCATTGGAATTCACCCCACATGTGGGGAGGTAGGAAATAGAACATTTTTTTAACTGGCTTCAATAGATGTGGTTCAAAAAATAATCATAAAGCACATTGTTAAACTTTGGTATTAGTAACTATGTATTTAAAAGAATGGCATAAATGTAACATTGAGAACGTGTTTTCTTGAAACAGTGCTTACCTCTCTCTGTATGTTCCCTTTGTGTTCCCCTTTGCACAGGTATTCACAGCCTTGGAAATAACAAAGTCATCGGGCCTAGACATCACTCAGAAAGGCTGCTGAGGATAGGCCTGCTGCTACTCAGTTTCCTTGTCATATTCTCATTTCTTTCAAAGACAAGAACACTCATACAAAATGAGCCTGTGCTCGTGACACCTGCTGTTACTCAGGGACCAGCACAGGGCTTGTTTGCAGCACGGAGATGAGAAAGCAGACAAGGAGACAGGACAGCAGCAGGCATCTGCCTTGCAGGCGTGCTGACAGCAAGAAGCAGTGAGACTGCCTCCTTGACGCCTCAGCTCGGAGCCCCTCGTGAGGTGAGCTGAGGCCGACTCTTGCAAGTCAGAACTGAGCTTCTTTCTGCAATACCTTTGAATGGCACAGTTAACCTAAGTCAACTTTTTTGGTAGCTAATGTTTATCCCCTTGCGTGTTGTTTCTATGAAAATATGTTTTTTGGTTATGAAACTAACTATAAAGTGTTCTTCCATTGTGTGGACCTAGATTTCACATGTGCTCACTGGTGAATGGTGTCTGGGGAGATACGGTTGGGCAGCTGACGCAGATGACTGGGTGTGTTAGCAAAACCCGGTGCACTCTTGTGCAGATTTTAGTCATCTGTTTTCTCTTTTAGGGTATATTTTAACCTCCTGTCAAAATCTTGACTCCTGCTTCACCTTCTCATACATTATTGATGGTAATGACCTTGAAGTCATTCTCCTGGTTGTATCTCTAGCCTCAGAAGAATATTTCATGTATGGAAAACTACTTGAATTTCTTTCTCATGTTGATCCCACCAGCAATATTAAAAAAGGTTTTCAATACTGTATTATGTGAAATGTAACTAATTTCAAACTGCATAAAATGATTCAGTCACAGTCTGTTTAATGGTGGTCAAGTTCCATAAGTGAGTAGGTGATAGAAAGAGGTTTCATTGTCAGCACCCAAAGGCCCTTGATGAGGAAGGCACCCTGTCCAGCACCCTTTGGAAGCCTCTTGTTTCTTGACGAGCACACCCCACAGCGGCCCGGTTGAAGCTTTTTCAGGCCACTTAACTCTTTTGAGCCACACTGGCTGTTTAGCCCAGTGCCATAGGATCAGGTGGGTCTATGCGGTCAGAATTTCTAGGCATAAGTCTTTTTTAAAATTTTCTGAAATTTGCTTAAGAGCAAAATTTTAAGCCAACAAACAGATGGGAACATCATTCTCAGATGACCATCTTTGCTGCCCGCTCTGGAACCCAGAGGAGTGTGGAGTGGAACTGCAGGAAGCTGGCATAGTGCCTGGTTATCGAGTGAGAAAGAAGACAAATGTAACTGCCCAGAAAGTAAGAGCAGCGTATGGAAACTGTGCGCTTGGGGTAGAAGCAGCGCTGTGGGAACAGAGGGAGGAATATGCTGCTGGTGTGTGTTGGGCGTGTGGCCGAGGTGGGGTGAACAGTGGTGGAGGCAGCCACAGTCGAGCTGAATCACAAGGGGTGAACAAAATTTGGAAGATTGAGAAGCAATATGGAGAGAATAATTTTGTGTGTGTGTGTGTGATAAGAGTGTCACTCTGTCACACTGGGTAGAGTGCCGTGGCATCATAGCTCACAGCAACCTCAAACTCCTGGACTCAAGTGATCCTCCTGCCTCAGCCTCCTGAGTAATTGGGACTACAGGCACCTGCCACCACACCCAGCTAGTTTTTCTACTTTTTAGTAGAAATGGGGTCTCACTCTTTCTCAGGCTGGTCTGAACTCCTGAGTTCAAACAGTCCACCCACCTTAGCCTCCCAGAGTGCTGGAATTAGACAATCCACCATGCTCAGCCACGGAATAATCTGAATAATGCTTTCAATAGATTCAATTAAAATACTAGATTAAAATATATTTTAAAAAATTGTGTTACTGTATTGATAAGCACCAAACACATGCACACACCTTTTTTGGAATCCCAAATCAAGTGGAACCATCTGCGAACCCTGAACTCTTCCTTTGCACTGAGCATAGGACAAGAAGACTAAATAAATCTCAGTCTTGCTCCAGGTCTAATAGAAGACGTCTGTGAAGCTGGGACCCCAGGGGAAGGCTGGGTGGAAAACAGTCTCACAGAAAGAGCCGGCAGAGAAACTTGCCTCAGCCCTCACTGGCATGGGAGAGAAGATATAACCCACCCTAAGAATCTAACCGCTAACCAGATTAGAGACCACTGAAAGGCTAATTATCTTTCTTTAGCAGAGAAAGGAGAAGGTTTGCATTTGCATCTGTCTGTAATTGGCTCCCTCTCACCCTTTTCTTTTCCTCCTCCTTCTCTTTCTCCCCTTACTCTTTTCTCCTCTACTTGGGTAAATCCAGTGTCTACTACACATAGTCCCTGAGAATAGTGACAGATTAAAGATAAAACATACATGCATCTAAGAGCATGCAGGTGTGTATAGATCTGCAAGGAAAGTTAATGTCCTCCACTGTAGTGGAGATTTTAATACGCCTCAGTAGTTTTAGACTAAACACCACAAAATCAGTAAAGATGCAGATTTGAATAGTAGTATAACAAAATCGATTTAATGAACTTACAGAGTCTGATCTCAACATGAAAACAACTCATTTCAAGCACACTTTGAGTATGTATGAAACTTGCCCTGTGCTAGGCCAAGGCCTAACAGATTTCCAATGGCTGGTGTGTAGGGATGGGGCGAGAGGATGTCAGTAACACCAGGAACCCAGTGACCTCAAAACCATGTAGTGTGTTGGAAAATAAAGTATGGAGTGTCGTGTGAGGTGAGTAAGGGGTTAGTGGGAGAACAAACTTGGAAATTGGTAGAATCAGGAGCCACTTTGCAAGAAGCAGGGAAGTAGGGGAAGATCTTAGGCCTTGAGGAATGATAGACTTGAGACCTCTGGTCCCATGACTTACTGGGTGAGTGATAATAAATAGCTTAACTTTTCCTATCCTTCATTTATGAAGTGTGGACACTATTGCTGTCTCATAGACTTTTAAGAATTGAGCAACATTTGTTAAGTTCCCACATACAGCGCATTGGTGTAGGAACCTTGGCTTCTGTGATAGTGAGTAGGGACCCTATCAAGGAACAGTCTTGTAGACACACAGCAGCACAGCCACTGGGTGAGCACTCAGGAGGACGACAGGCGCCTCAGCACTCTGCAGACTGTCACTTGGAGGGCGGCCTCTCAGCTGGTCTCCAACCCGGATCCCCAGCTGCTGATAGTCACATCCGTGTGTAGTCTTCACCCACATTGCTCTGAGGTTGGTCTGTGTGACGGGTAGCAATGGCAGAAGCGGTGGCACATCACTGCTGCGACTGGGTCATTACTGGGCTGAAGCCTGAGTTCTGGTCGCCCTGGTGTACTCTACTGAACTGCTTGGTGTGGGAGAAGAAGCTGCCATGTCATGATGACACGGGAAACCCACGGAGAGGCCCAGCAGGAAACAACCTCCTCCTGCTCAGCTGCTTGATCACAACCTCTTGAGACACTTTGGGCCAGAACCCTCCAATGTGTCTCTTCCAAGATTCCCGACCTTCACAGAGTATGAAGGAATAAATGTTTGTACTTGAAGCCTCTGATTTTCAGAGTAATTTTTTACACATCAGTAGGTAATTAGTACGAGTCAAAGAAAATGAAAACTAATACAGATCTGATAAATGTCTTGGGGAACTTTGTTTCTAGGATAGACAAACCTCATTTGGAGTTGTAAGTTCAACAAACAGGAATCAGCTCACAGCCTTGAATGTACCTCATCATTGCAGACTCAGCAGGGAAGTTCTCCTCTGTCTGAGATGTCTAGATGATGACTCCTGGGGGTGGGGGGAACGTGCGAGGGGCAGGCTCCCTCTCACTGGCTTTGCTGCTTGCTAGTGAGCATATACTAGTGTTGTATGTAATCAGTAGGATCTCTGTAAGGTGACCTTCACAATCCATGAGACAATTAAGATGTGAGGGGCTATAACAAACTGGTCTGCACACGGAGGTGGCCAACACGAGGAACTAGGCCTGCAGTATGGACACCTACCTGTGGTGCATGTTTGGCTCTGGAAATAGGTCACCTGAGGGAGGCGGTCAGTGTGGGGAGGTGTGCGGGGGGGTGGGGGGGGGCCCTGCTGTACTCAGGGCTGCTGCTCACTGGCGAGCTTGCCTTGGAGCCGTGCTGCTCTGGATTGTATTTGCTGTGTTCTACTATTAAAGATTTAACTGACTTAAGTTAGAAAATTTTCTATTGGAGCTCTCCTTAAAGTGGCCCTGAGTCATGTGTCTTGGTCCAGATCTATTTAGGTGTCTCAGATTGAGTCGAACGTCTCAAGGACAGACATCCCTGGTCCTCAGGAGAGTGACTGCCACTCTGCACCATAGCTGTATGCTTCAGCAGGCATAGCCCCTGTTCTGTGGAGTGCTCAGGGGAAAGGGCGATTCCTCGTGCAATATATAGGCTCAGTACATGTTCCCCATGGAGGAGGAGCATTTACTGTGGGCCATGATAAGGTCATGCTTAAAAGTGGGTGGTTCACTAGGATGCTACAAAATGCCTTTGCTGATGTGTACGCCTCTGTCACCAAAAAGTATCCTGGATCCTGGTATAGGAAGACTTTATATATGACACTCTGTGGCACAGTCAAGGAGTTAATTCCACCATTGCCATGTGGAGGAATCCTAGCCCTAAAGACACTGATTTGAGACTCTTAAGAGCAGGTGTCCTCAAACTATGGCCTGCGGGCCACATGCCGCCCACCTAGGACATTTATCCGGCCAGCTGGGTGTTTTTGCTGCCGCTGCCTGTCCTGCTTACCAGCTGACTCATCCCGGGGCCCGCATGGGACTTCAACTGTCTGAAGGACAGTGAACTGGCTCCCTGTTTAAAAAGTTTGAGGACCCCTGCTTTAGAGGAAACTTATTAGTATGAGCAGGACAGAGGAACCTATCCCTGAAGTGTATCCAGTTATCACCAGAATGAGGGGAGAAAGGGAAGAAAAAGAGGATGGGGGGAAGGAAAGGAGAGAGGGGGAAGAAGGCAAGGGGATGGGGAGGAGGGAGGCAAAAGTGGACAAGTGGGAAGCAGGGAAGGGAGTGAGGAAGGGAGGCTGTGAGTGGAAGAGACAGAAACCTGAAACAGGCTCAGTGTTTACCCAACTGGAAATGTAAAATTAAAGAATTTATATAACAAAAAGATTAAAGGGCACTTATCTTTTTAAAACAACATTTTAAAGTTCAGTGGTGTTACATAACCATCACCACTATCCATTTCTAGAACTGTTTTTTTATTCCAAATAGAAACTCTATTCATTAAAGAATAACTCCACATGCCCCGCCCCCTCCTGGTAACCTCTTGTCCTTATGAATTTCCCTATTCGATAATAGTATCTCATATAGGTAAAATAGTATCTCATAGGCAAAATTATACAAAGTTTGTCCTTTTATGTGTGGCTTATTTCACTTGGCATTATGTTGTAACATTGTTATTTCATTCTTTTTAAGG